CGCTCGGTAACGTTACGATGAGTCACCGAACGAGAGAGAGGCCCGCCGAATGCCTTGCGTCTCTCTCCCACTCAACTATGATCGGTCTACCGCGCGCGCAGCACTAGTTCATTCAATTCCTTGTTCCTATTGTGCAATTTAATTATATTCATATCAATAAATATTCTACCGAGAAAAAGACGTTGTCACGTAAAATCTTCGCCCGTAAAAACGACTTTACAGGCAACCATTTTTTTTACTTGCATTAAATAGTTAGCCTGACAACAATACAGACACATTCTGATATCGATAACCGCTGAGTACACTGACCTTGGATAAGATAGATATTTTAATCTTACATTGTATTTTGTATCATTGAGTTTTATTTATATTATAATACCTACAATGGAAACTAATTATCATATTACGTCTATGATAAATGTGATGGAAACCGAAGAAACATACCTACATACTATGTATCCCCATATTTATATATACTAATATTATAAAGAGGAAAGATTTGTACCTATTTTTGTATGTTTGTAATGAATAGGCTCAAAAAGTAGGTACTGGGCCGATTTAAAAAAATCTTTCACCAGTAGAATGCTACATTCTTCCAATTTGACATAGTCTATATTTCATTTTGAAAAAAATTAGGGATCCTTGGTAAAATTTGAACAATGTAACCGAAGGTGTAGAAATATGAGTCTTAAAATGTCTTCACATCACTCCCGCCTCACCCAAGCGGGAACAGTTATTCGATGATTTTCCCCCATTAAAAAATATAATATCTGTTTTAGGCAACATTGCTGCTGGATTGAGTATTCAAGAATTCTGGCCACTTTACCAACCACTTGTGGCCACTTGACCAACAAAGCTATATTTTTATCTGGTGCTTGAGGAAAGTTATACTCCATATGACATCACTCCATGACATGAAGGAAAGGAATGCAGATCAAAGTATAGTATAAAGTAATTTTTAAAGAAACTAACTACAAATACATGACATCATGTTTAAAAAGTGACTGCCTCGTTGGCCGAGTGGTCGCAAGTGCGACTGGCAAGGGGTCTCGGGTTCGATTCTCGAGTCGGGCAAAGTATTACTGGGTTTTTAATAAATTCTCAGTAGTAGCACGGAGGTTTCTCAGTAGTAGGAGGAATTGTAACTGGTATATGGCAATAGGCTCACCCCTATTACGTAGGACTCATAACATAAATATTGTACAGTGGCATAATGTGTTATGTTATGTTTTAAAGGTACAGTTATATGCAATAGAAAGTGAAACTAGGTAATTTAGTTGATGCAGTGTTTCCCAAAGTTGTCTGGACTAGACCCTCTATCTAAACCAAGTTACCAAACTCGGGACCCACTTTTAAGAAGTTATTCATAACGTATATAATAATATGTACGAATATATAATAATAAATAATTCATAAGGGGTTGGCAGTGATAGAGAATACGGCACTTGATGCCACTGTATATTGTAACACCCACTTTTCACTATTTATGATATGAGTCCCATGTAATAGGGGGTGAGCCAATTGTCTTATACCAGGCACAATTTCAGACACCGTGTTACTTGATTTAAAAAAACCCAGATGTACTTTGTCCAACCCAGGAATTAAACCCGAAACCCCTTGCTCAGTATACTTGCCACTACTCAGCCAACGAGGCAGTAAATTTAGGATAATTAAAATGTTACCAATATGATAAGTAAATTACACAATGGTTGCTTACTGTGTAGTAATGCCCACTAAAAGTTCGCTCACAACACACCAGTAGGTTGCGACCCACAGTTTGGGAAACCCTGACCTAATGTGCAGTAAAAAGTAAATTGTGGATGAAAATTTGTATTGTAATGTTTCAGAAAGTGGTTTTTGAATTTTAAACAAATTAAAAGTTAATAACCGCTACGAGACTAATATATGCTATACAATACAATTTTATTGTATTATTATCATAAATCTAGAGTAACTACCGGATAATTTTATAAGCTTTATGTATTTGCTTGATTGGCAACAGAGTTTCCAATTCCTTGTTATCAACAATTCGCCAGTTTCATGTGCTTGTAGGTTCTTATATAACTAATAAATGAATATATTCTTGATAGTAAGAGGAAAACCACAGCCTAAGTCATGATGACTTGTTCACCATAAGTATGAATGAAACCGATAATAAACTAACTTGTATTGTAGGCATCAAGTCAATGGATTAATATGTTATTCGTGGGACTTACAATTTGTTTCCTTATAACGCAAATAAAAAAAAAACATTAAAAAGAAATTATAATTACCAGAATAAAATCCCCGGCTTGGGAAAGTCTGGATAGCTCTTGATTTTGCTCTTTAATTCTTGTAGTTTCTTCTCGTAGTCAGCGTCCATGATTTATAGGTTTAACTTCTTTTTTACTGAAATTTAATAATAAAATGTTAGTAAAAAGTTGTAAACAGAAACCAAGTGTGATGTTACTATAGTCAGAATTTTAATTAGATTCCAGATTTGACAATAGCTACTGTCATTTTGTGAAATAATGATACCACATATAATAGTGTAGTGATGAACACAAAAATCGATAAACAATCAGTGTGTATGTTTTATAATAAATGTTACAGAAAGGGACAGGATAGCGATAGCGATGACGACGACAATTTATAAAATAACTTATTACCATAATACATCTATCTGTTTCATTTGTCATTTTCCTTCATGATTACATTTTGTTAGTTATTTCACACACAATTATAAAAGAAAAGTCTCTGATCGTTAAGTAATCGTCAAAACTAAATTATCGGTCAGAAATATTTAATTTCCTGATATCCTTAGTTTACGAGAGTAAAATTATAAACGAGAAGAATCGATCGAGAAATATAGCATTTCCATATCGAATAATTTCGCAACGTCACTATTTAGTACTTGTCATAACGTTGCAACACTGAAATTGTCAAATCTGGAATTGAATTAAAATTCCGAGTATAGTTTCTAGCACAATTTTATTACTTACATTGTAATTGAAAATGTTCTATGATTGCCAAATAAGTACTTATTCAAAGTTTGAATAGGGCAGAGGTCAGAGTAATAAACAGCAGTCTCGTTTCAATCTTAGATATCAATTTTATCATCAGTCGGTAGGTATCCGGTGCCTGTCAAAGATTTTCAGGTTATGATCACCAACTCAAATTGCCAAGTTATTTAGAAAAAAAGTCCCCACCACGACCAACTAAATTAAACTACGAATGAGATAATTAAGATCGCTTCATTGATATCTAGAAAAAACTAAATTAGCTGTCAGAAATGATCCTATTAATATGAACACATCATCTGAAGCTCTGAGTGCTTCATAGAATTTTTTTAAATAGCCAGAACAAATATAAAACAAGTGAATCAGAGGGTAAAGCAATATAGGGAAATGGCCTATTTTCAATTTATTTGTCATTTCGTATTAGATTATTACACTAAGGTGAACATATTTGCTTAGTAGTAGTCTTCTAAAGAACTTCTTTGCAATTATAATATATTACAGTGGTAATGTATGACGGTAGCTTGGCTAGTCGATAGGAAATGTGTACCTGGTATACCACAATATTTTATTTATTAGTGACGGCAGACTGGTTACTCATGCTTACAAGGGCAAATTTTTTATTTGAAAAATAATACCTATATTTTGGGAATTTCTATACGCTGGCAACTTGAATTTACTGTCAAATGTCAAAACAATGTTGCTGGGAGGTAATCAATAGTGTGTAAAAAATACCTACGTTCATTAAATTTTATAAAAATAATCCATTTATAATACCTCATAGTAATTTTTCAATTGTCAAGGCTTTTATTTACAACTTTTTTTCCTACTGGTACTATTATCAACTCGATGTCATTGTAATGAATGACGCAAACGAAACGTAATGTCAATGTCAAGTCAAGTCAAATTCAATTTCAATTTTCTAACCGAAACGATTATTTTGTTATGATGAATTTACTTGTAAAGCAACTGTGAATTAATTAAGCTTATTAACAAAGATTTTTATAAAAAACTAAAACTCAAATTGCTATACAACAAGTGTTTGCATTCGAGTTCAATACCGTACCTACTGAGTTTCCCGCGGAAAGTGAAACTTTCGCCGTACGTTCATAATAGCACAATGCTATCTTCATCTAATGTAGAAAGGCTAATTGCAGAGAAAAGGCGTGAGATAGAGAGGGAGAAAACTGTGCTGGGATTGTGGCCGGCGGAACACGATGTAAGTTGCATAGATTACTTGTTTACTAACACTACCACCTGTGGCTGCTGCCCTGGTACCGCACGATCGCGATATTGATTTTCTTCTACGCTCAGCTCAGTTGATAACTAACACTGTATTGATTCTGTACGCTGTCCAAGTGCCAGACAGCTGACACAACTGCTAAACAAAGATTTTTCGTAGATATTGTTCAAGTTAAATTATCAGTGTAGAATGTATTAAAGAAAGTGAGTGTTTTGACGTAATTTTACTGCATTGAACTAATTTCGCTGTTGGAAGTCGCAAAGTAAAGAGGTTTGTGTTTATTTATTATCTGTTCTTTGTAAAAGTTTATTTATTTACACTCTTGTCATGTTTTGTTTCTACTTTTTTCTTACTATTGTGTAATTTGTTAGAGTATTGTATGAATTAGGTAGCTCTGTTAATTTATGTTTTGTCTATATTTTCTGTTACAAAGACTAAACAACTTAAACTTTGTTATTGTAGGTTGTGAAATATTATTTTAAAGCAACTAAAGAGATTTACGGATTTTATAATCTCAGAAATCATGCAAAATAATAGTTGCTTACATAATGCTAATGCGCTATTAAAACTTAAGCTGCTTACAGACTACTCATTTATCTTTAAAAATTATTGTTGTTTTTAAGCTGTTTCTATTATTGTAATTTGAAATGATAAATACAATAGTATTATCAAATAAATATTAGAGGCAAGCAAAATTTTACATTAAACACGTAAATTTCAAATCTTTACATCACTATTAAACAGCAAACTATTTTTACAAAAAAAAAAAGAAATTTTAACCTAGTATTATCTATGTATGTAACAGTAATTAATAGAGTCAACAACAGCTGCAGTAATTTATGAGCTGCCAGCAACATCATAACTTTTTCATTGCATCAAATACCAAGGAGTATTGATTAGACATCGGGCCAGTTCAATGATCTATGAAACTATGCTCTTTGCCTACACAGCACATTACTCATTGAGGTCAGACCTACAGAAACATAAGTGGTCCACTTACTCTAGTATTTCTTTGATTTGTTTCAAGTAGATTATGTAAGGAAAAAATGTAAGTATTGAGAAATAGTTTGATTTTGTAATTGAATTAACTTAATATGATGTAATTGTAAGTAATACTAATGGCATTAATAATAATGTTTCCAGAATATCTTTAAGAGTTTAGTAAATATATATTATGAAAACCTAATCAGTTTTGATTTAAAAAAACATAATTACTATAATAATATTTTCCATCTACCTTCAAACAAAAATCTGTAGAAGTTCTGAAGACATACTTAACAAATGAACTAAGAACATGTTTCCAGCTCCAAAGAAATGTCAAAGAAGATGCAGTATCAACAGTCAATGGCAAGAAACAAGTGAAATTTGAAGAAGACAAGGTCCTGCCTCATAGCCATGACTCCTCAAAGGATGAGGAAGAAAGTGTACTATCAGAGACAACACATGAAGAACTTGATGATAGTGATAGCATACCACCAGCATTAGAGAGATATATCAGGGTAAGTGCCTTTTGCATTACATTTTATTTATCTCAGTCCCAAAATATCTGGAAGAGGAATTATAACAAAGTCAAAGTCAAAATTAGATTTAAACTGTCAAACACCGAGCGGTCACCGGTGACCGCAACCTATTGTTCTTTAATTGTGTCTATAATGACGGTACTCAACGAGGAAATGTGACGCTCGCCCGGAGATTTTCGCACAAGTTGCTTATAATTATGGACCCCGAACGTAGCTTGAAATTAGTCAAGGAACCTCGTCGAGCATTTCAAACTGTACAACTACATTAATATCGAAATCTGGTCTAGTCTTTAGGTCTTAACACATTGAAAATCGCATTTCTAGGATCATAAATATTCGAGACAACCCAGTAAAACATATATCCAATGTGTTTTTACTTAAGTTGAACTCGCGTGCAAATACCTAATAAGGAAGGATATCCTGGCTATTAAAACTTGGACTGCAAAGGAAAGGCGAAGGCCTCATCATTATTAGACGATTTACTAGAATTTTGTTTCGATTCTTTGTACCGCTGCTATTGTGATTGCTTCGAAACTAGTTGTAAATAAATAAGTGGCACTCGTTCGGATAATGAGTCCGTGCCTCGACCACATTAAGCCATCGGTCATGGTTTTCATACTAACATCTATACTTGAACTAAACCATATTGAACCAATCGAGGGTTATGGAAGACTACCAGCAGAACTATGGACTCTAAAACTTAAAGCCAGAAGAAAGATTTGAATATGTAATGGTACCTACAGTAAGCGCCGACTGTACTAAAGACACGTTAGGTTTTACTAGGAGGAAGAAAGTCAAAGTCAAAGCATTTATTTCAATTAATCCTTAATTAGGCACTTTTGAAAAGTCAAAAATTGAATTGTCCGTCCGTCTGTCTGTCAGAGAAGCTAGGCGCTCGTTCCTCGTTCAAGAAGAACGCGTAAGAAACTCCATCGTTACTCAAAGCAACGTAGTGTAAAGCATTGTTCAAATCTCATAGTTTATGCTAGGAAGATCCTTTTCCAGGTTCCCTGGTAACTTGTAGACAACATACAACCAATAACTTCTGACAAGGTCGTACTTGACGACGTTCGGAAGCTGACGCGAACTTTTCACCGGATCTTATATCATTAACCTCTTTTGTAATGCTGCGGAAATCAGATGCCAATCTTTTAAAGCAATATCTAATATTAGCAATATATAAAAATTCAACTACTTTATTATAACAAAATTAAACTAATAACAAAATTAAACTATGTTTCAAGTTGCGGTGGTGACAATGTTATCAGAGGAAGCTTAAAAGTAACGAATGACACAGGTGTTTTTGTTTTATCCTGACTTTTGATATAGACTGCGGAGAATAGTACAAAAAAGATATGATCACTTAGGATAATCATGCAAGACATAGTAGCTATAGGAAGATGTGATGTGAAGTGTCGATTACTAGTCATGAACATCTGATAGAATCTACTGGACAATAACGGGAATATTGCGGACAACTAATAATCAACCTGGTACAAATATTGCCCCGAGTTCTTATTGTATTACGTGCACGAAATTACACGAAGTAGCCAATAGATACGCAATGCATAATTAGTTACGAATGAGAAATTCTAATTACCATTTTAATAGTCGGTGTCGACGTTTAAACTTGTAAACAGTTTGTTTTGCCTAATTGGTGGCATTCCGCGGGTTATTGTGAATGCAATTTTATTTGTAGCTGGTAATTATTTCGCTTTAATTATCCTCGTAATGACTATGTGACATACTTAACATAGTGTATGTATGATCATGTTTATTAAATTCCCTGTAAGAATATGTGGAATTGTCGCTACGAGCTTCATATTTGCAAAGACTAACGAATGTGCGTTTGTTTGTCTTCCTTTCACGTCGCAATGGAGCATTTCTAATTCTATGGAATGGTTTTTGTGCAAAAATTCGTGAAATAATAATAAAAAAAAATGTGCAAATAATTGACGTAATTGTTAATTTACACCTAGTTAAAAGAGATTTGGAGATGAGTTAGGAGGCTGGAGTGTGACATAGGCTACATGCTTTACCTTTGACCACGCAGGCAGTCGCAAGAAGAAAGTTAGTTGCTAGTAAAGTAATCGACTTATCTAACACGAGTTGCTTCTTAACATTAAACCTATTCTAAACTCGATGAACAACCCAAAGAAAAGCTCCACTACAATTATTTTATTGATTTCAAGCGCGCTGAAATATTTAAGAACGCGATGGACCAAATTGCACTACAGAATTTTCACAAAACTATTAAGAAGTAGTGCAACAATTAGATCCGATTCGATCTTAATACTTAAATACTTAGTTCAATATCGCAAATGGTATTTTAATGAGACAGTTATTAATCGCCCATTGTTTAATGTAATTGAAGTCGTCATCGTCTCACTGGCGTAACATATAATAATAGAATTAAGTGAAGATGGTATTAGTTTTATGAAAGTTCAGACTGTAGTAACTATTGAAGAGTTGTCACTTAGCTTTGTCGTTTAAGGAATTATAGATCTGTTTACAAGCTGAATAAAGTCTATAGTTCGATGCGTAGGATGTCGGTTGCCGTCAAAACAGGAATGACAACACATGTATGTTTAGTTGTGGCTCATCTACATCAGTATTATCAATAGCCAATGACAGTCGACTGTTGGACTATAGGCCCCCTTTTTAAAAAAGAAGTTTTCCACATAATCTCCACAATACGTCTAGTACAATATTTTAAAACTTTGGACACGTATTTTTTCTTTCCTCACTAAATTAAATACTTTCGACGATATATTAAATTGTAATATCGTGTGACGTCACACCGTGTCACATTTTGTAGCACATTATGACGTAACGACCTCCCACTCCTAAACTTAGCGCTATTTTATCTAAGTATTGCAACTTAATACGAGAAATAAAAAAAATACGTGTCTAATATTTTTTCATTATCTAACTTACGGACTAATTGGATTTTTTATTTTGATACCCTGGAAACTACCCAATTGGCAGGCGGGTTGGAGTTCACAGTTCAAAAAGGAGACTGCCGCGCCGCTGCCCGGTCTTTGTTAAATACATGCGTAGTCCCTTAGTCTACTCTTACAGCACCTACGGGAAGAGTAGGGATGCTGACAAATATATTGTCACACGGCTAAGGATGTAATATGATGAGCTTCATTAGACATTCGACTCCAAGGACCAAACATTTTAGAATTCATATTCGCGTGACCTTCTTCACAAATCAACGCATACTCATTTCTTGACTCAACGTGACTGTCCAGTGTACATACAGCACACATCGATCTATACAAAACCAGTTTATTATCAGTATGGTCTTCCTGCACGTTCGACGGTCAGTTTATACTGGTTTTGCATAGCTTTATATATAGCCTGACAGTGATGATCTAACTAAAGTGCAGTGTTTAATATGAATGACAGTGCCAGGGCCAATGCCATATCAACTAAGGAGCACTAAACTAGATAGATGTGACGCCCAGTGTAGGCGACACATCGTTAAGGATAGCCTCTAAAATAAACATCGCTCTGATTTAACGAATAGTACCAATCAAACTGTGCTTTATTTTATGTTTTTTGTTGTAATTTTTATTGCTTCGCCCACATTACGATTTTCTTATGTGGTTGGTGCGTTTGCTAACATATTGCCTAATGATCAATCAAATATTTGTTCTATGCGGGAATCGTACCCTTTAATAGTGCTATAGTCCATCGCTCTACCATTCCGCCAACCCTTTCCTCGATAGTGTTACTACAATTGGCCAATGAAGCATTAGTTTAATATTTTCAATAGCAGCGTAGAACAATGAAAATTCATCACCATCAACAGCCTATAAATGCCCACTGCTGAGCAAAGCCTCTTCTCACACGGAGAAGGTTTGAGCATTAATCACCACGCTTGCTCAATGCGTGTTGGTGATTTCAAACTTATAATTGGAAATTATAATTCCAGGTTTCCTTACGATGTTTTTTTTTCACCGTTTGTCTGTGGTGTCTAAATAATCTTAGAAAGTACATAGGACTCGGAAAAAGTCACATTGATACTTGCTGTTGGTAGGTTTCGAACCAGCACCCTCATGTATGAGAAGTGCGCCATAAACCTCCAGGCCACCACGACATACACAATGAAAATTAATGAATATGAAATAAATTTAGTATTCCATGTTCTTGTACTTACTACTTTCGGTATATCGGTGCTACACGCTCGTAAATTACGGATCCCTCTGACTTCGAAATGAGTCGGACAAGGTCGAAAGATTTAACCTAAATAAAGGCTAAGACTTTTCATAGAAATAACTTGATTACATCCAAGGCTTCAACCGAATGCTTTCCATTCAAACATTACCACATCACTTACGTAAATAACCCGCATTAGTGAATAAGTAATGTTATTATTAGACATAATGATCGATAGTTATATCTATTTGACTGTGAGCTGTCGGACAAAAGGTAAATGTACACATATCCACAGTAATTCTTGTTTAAATAGATATCGTTGTTAGTTATTTTAACGACGCGACGAAGAAAATCGGAAAATTGTTAAGCAAAGGACGGTTTTCTGGTTTTATTCGCTGATCTTTGATTTGTCAAGATTATGATTCTTGGATTGTCTGAATACATAAGTGGCTTTTATTTTATATTACTTAGTAATTGGAGTTTAAAAAATAACAGATTTTTTTTATTTAACCTACGAATAATGTTTGAATATCAAGCTCCAGGTGTGTTGCTGGTGGTCTTGAATAATAAAAGACTTCGGTATGATGAGAAGACTGTATTTAAATAGGTACTGATTGTAAGGGTCAACCGATATGTGCGCACGGCGTCGTGCCGGGCGAGCGAGTGAATGAATGACCGCCGATCGCAGCAGTCGCGGGCCACGTATGGTGGTGAGCCCGATGTGACGTCAGGAACATACTCCCCGGGTTGAAGAGAAGGCTTCAAGTTCATGTTACGCCACCCGAAGAGGGCAGATGTTGTTGTAGGCACGTGTGATGATGCCTTTCCTCGTACGAACGTCAGCGACTCGACAATGTCCGTCCGAGCCAGTTTTAACTGCTACTACTCTGCCCAGCAGCCAGAGAAGAGGAGGGAGATTGGCATCCCTCACTAAGACCATGGTGCCAGTCTTCAGGTCTTGTCCAGCTGTTTGCCATTTGGTTTTCTGCTGCAGAAGAGACACATACTCATTACAAAAGCGTTTCCAAAAATGTTGTCTCAGTTTCTCAACGCGATCGAAACGCTGCAGTCGCTGGATGTTGGCGTCAGTCAATAATGGACGAGGGACTGAAGTGAGTGGCCGTCCGATAAGGAAATGGGAAGGAGAAAGATAAGATAGATCAGAAGGATCAGAGGATAGAGGAGTTAAGGGTCTGGAATTTAATATAGCCTCTATCTGAACCAGACAAGTAGAGAGCTCCTCATAAGTAAGGTGAGTTAAGCTCATGACTCTACGAAGTAAATGTTTTGTGGATTTTACTGCTGCCTCCCAAATGCCACCGAAATGTGGGCTGTAGGCTGGTATAAATTTAAATTCGATGCCTTTGTTTGCAACGGCTGATTCTATGTCTTTTGATGAAACCTCAAAGAAACGTGACAGCTCATTGAAAGCTCCCACAAATGTTGTGCCATTGTCGGAGTACACGCGCTGAGGCTTCCCACGACGGCTAATGAATCGGCTGAAGGCCGCAAGAAAAGCCTCCTTGGTCAGGTCGGAAACCAGCTCCAAATGAACGGCTCTGACTGCAAAGCACACAAACACACAAATATAAGATTTAAGTAACTGACATCCTCTACCCCTACGATTGGCTATCAGCACTGGCCCGGCGTAGTCAAGACCTGTGTTCAAGAAGGGATACTCGAGATGGGTTCTATCCTGTGGCAGGTCGCCCATGACAATCTGTACAGGCTGAGCCTTGATCCGAGTACAACGAACACACTTACGCACTATATGCTTGGCTAAGTTCCTGCCCGCCAGAGGCCAGTAAGACAGTCTTATGTGAGCTAAGAGTAATTGAGGCCCTGCATGAAACAGTACAATGTGTTCGTTTTCAAATATAAGTTGTGTTATATGATGTTTGCTACATAATAGTATAGGATGTTTAACATCGTAGCTGTAATGTGAATTGTTAAGACGTCCACCAACGCGTATTAGATTGTCTGAATCAATGAATGGAGAAAGACTTATTAATCGATTCTTTTTATGTAAGGGCTGATTAGATTTAAGACATGTATATTCCTCAGGGAACATTTCCTGCTGGGAAATATGTAATAAAAGATTTTGTGACGATTTTAACTCTGATACTGTTAGGTAAGATGATTGTTTATTATTCGGTTTTTTACAATTATTTATAAATCTTTTTATATAGGCCACTACTCTGATCAATAACGTAAATGAAGATTTATTATGAATTAAACTGGAAATTAAATTAATGTTAGTTATGTTATGCATGTCAGCTGTTGTGTGTAACGTTAATTCTGGTAATAAATGCGTATTATTATTTTGTAAAGTAGGAAATTGAATCTCACTTTGATTAATGAAATCAGGGCCTGACCACCAAAGAGTGGATGAGCTGATGCAATCAGCCTTCACCCCCCGAGAAGCGAGATCGGCGGGGTTGCTTTTAGATGGCACATAATTCCATGTCTGGCCGTTCGTAGCTTCTTGGATTTCACTCACTCTATTGCGAACAAATTGTTCGAGGCGACTTGGCAATGTTTTCAGCCATCCTAGAACGATCGTTGAATCGCACCAAAAATAACAATGATGAAATTTTAGAGTAAGTGATTTACGTACCTTCAGAAAAAGTCTTGTACCCAATAAAGCACCACACAACTCTAATCTTGGTATAGTTGTGGGTTTTATAGGGGCTACCCGGTTCTTTGAAGCTAACAGGCGAACGCAAACTATTCCATCGACTGTTATCGTTCTCATGTAGATACATGCGCCATAAGCACGTTCGGAGGCGTCTGTAAACGTATGTAATTCTAGTGATCTAGCATGATTACACGATACCCAACGAGGAATGTAAAGAGAGTTAAGTGCTGAAAGTGATTGTATGAATTCAAGAAATTGTGATTTTATTTCTGGAGGAACTTCATCATCCCAATTACATTTAAGTATCCAAAGCTGCTGTAATATAAGTTTGACCTGAACTATGCATGGTCCAACTAGACCTAGAGGATCAAACACTTGGCTAATTAAAGATAAAATATTACGCTTTGTGATTTTTGTAATTGGTTTTACATCGATAAAATAAAATAATTTGTCTGTATTGCAGTTCCAATATAACCCAAGTGTCTTGTGGCAAGTATCACTTAAGATTAATTGTTTATCACTGCTATATGTGTTGATATTTGTGACGCATTTTAATATTTCTGGATTGTTTGATTGCCATTTCCTAAGATGAAAGCGAGCAGATTCAAGAGCTTTAACTACTCCTTGACATACGCGTGTGACTGCTTCGATTGAATCTGCGCCACTAAGATAGTCGTCGACATAAAAATCACGTCTGATAGACTGACTAACTTCTGGATCTGAACATTGATCTGCAAGAGACACAAGACATTTAGTGGCCAAGTATGGGGCTGATGCTGTACCGTACGTCACTGTATTTAGTGCATACGTTTTTAAAGGGTCTGATGAATTTGATCTGAAAACAATTTGTTGCAATGGGCGTTGAGATGGTTCCACTAAAATAGCTCGATACATTTTTTCTATGTCGCCCGTTACGACATACTTGTGTTGTCTGTATCTTAAAAGTATGGACAGTAGATCCTCCTGTACGGTTGGACCCACCATCTGAATATCATTAAAAGACTTGCCCGAGGTACTGGAGGCAGAAGCATCAAAGACGACACGAAGCTTTGTCGTAGTACTTGACTCCCGTACGACCCCGTGATGAGGCAAAAAGTAATGGGTTTCTGAATGAATTGGTTTTGAATATTGTGTCATATGATGAAGATCAATATATTCTTGCATGAATTGTAAGTATCTGTTTTTAAATGTCGAGTCCCGCTCAAATCTTCGCTCTAGGGAAAGGAAACGACGCTTGGCCATTGCATACGAGTCACCTAAGCACTCGGGCGAGTCCTTTAAAGGTATAGTGACAACGAATTGACCATTTGGGTCCCGACGTGTGGTCTCGGAAAAGAGCTTTTCACAAGCTTGCTCTTCTGCAGAGAAGCAGCTAGCAGACGACACAGTATCAAGTTCCCAGAAGCGAGTCAGCTGGTCAGACTCCTCATGTGAAAGGAAATGACAAACAGAAGGTTGTGAACGAACACGAAGCTGACTAACGTAGCCCGAAATAAGCCAACCGAGTTTGGATGATTGTAATTTAGGTTGTTTATTGCCTAAATTAATGGTATTGGAACCTATGACGTCCCAAAATACCTCAGCGCCTACGAGGATGTCAATAGCAGCGGGAATGTTATAAGTAGGATCTGCTAGTTGAATACCTGGCGGTATGGCAATATATCTCTTATCGACATATGAACCCGGCAGCGATTGCGTAATCTTTGGCAGGATGTAACAGCTTACCCTCGCCTGATAACTACCGTAACAAGATTGCAAAATAAGATTGCAGCTTTCTGAGGTACTAGAAACTTGACCGTTAATACCTGAGACAGTGGAGTTAGTGCTGTACGTTACCAGGCCAAGTTTCTCACAGAGCTCTCGGGTCACGAAGTTTGAGGTGCTGCCGTTGTCCAACAGGAGTCTGACAGTATGAAGTTCACCATTGACATCGGACACCTTTGCCAAGGCTGTGGATAGTAAAATTGTAAAGTTATTAGTATCTGAGTAGGGTAAAGTAACATTGGTAGATAACGCAACACTGTGTCCTGCCTGTTGTTCTGTAGATGAATCCTTGTGTAAAAGGGTATTGTGTTTCACTTTACAATATTTGCAATGTGATAAACTGCAACGCTTCGCTGTATGACCAGGTCGAAGGCAATTTAAACAAACATTGCTTTCTATCGCCTTTTTAAATCTTGATTCAATATCTAAGTTTCTGAATGTTTGACAGCTAAATAAAAAATGATTTTGAGAGCATGCTGGACATTTAATGTCGTCCTTATTGTAAGTAGGTTTAGGTTTTGTTATTATTGTATGATATGTTTTTGATTTATTGTAGTCGTTAGAATATTTAGTGTTTGTATTATTTGAAAATGTGGTGTTTCTGTTGTAATTTAAGGAGTCCAAAAAGTCAGCTCTGTTATTTAAAAATTTAATATATTCCTTTAAAGTTGGAAATGAATCTAAATTATTTTTATATTCCTCCCATTCCCTGCGTGTGGCTCTGTCAAGTTTTTCTGACATAATATAAATTGTAAGGGTTTCTCCAAGACCCCCATGCTCACAAGACTGCCCTAATGTTAACAAAGCACGTATGTTTTTATTAGTTACATCAATCATGTTGCGCAATTGACTACAAGATTCTTGTTTTATATGTTCAAATTTAAATAATGCCTGCACGTGATTATTTATAAGTATTTTTTCATTATTGTATCTTTCGATCAACAATTGCCATGCCAAATCATAATTATCAGCTTTAAAATCAATGCTTTTTATAATTAAAGATGCACTACCTTTTAGGGCTGCACGTAAATAATGGAATTTGTTTATTTTTTGTATGCTGGAATTAACATGGATTAGGGAAATATACGTATCTCTAAATTCGAGCCAGTGCTGATAGTCCCCGTCGAAATGAGGCAAGTCTATCTTAGGCAGACGAACAAAGTCGTGCCTGCAGTCAGGTCCGCGGTGCTGAAGAGCGTCAGTGGAAATGGCAGACTCGAGTGCAGGCGAAGATGCACGCACAGGAACCAGAATGGTTTGCGCGCGCGCCACGTGCGCATGGAACTGCGCCTCGAACTGCTCCCTTTCGGCATACATGTCGTCGGCGTTCTCCGACAAAATTTCCAGCTCGGTCTGTAACACGTCATACTCCTTATAAAGTATTTGCATTAGGCTAAGACGGCTTTGTAGCTCTGCTGTTTGAAAACTGTCTAACTCGGTGTCAGGCAGAAATTTTAAAAAGTTACTAAAATGTGTAAGCTTGGCTTTGAAGCTGCCACGCTTCTTTATCAGCTCCTTAACCTTTGCATCGGACATACTGAGTAAGCAGAAAGGTGTTTAAGATGAAGCAAAGAGTTAAAATTACAAAAAAAGGCAAAGAAACAATAACGTAAGCAAGTGACGAGTACCTGTACTAGTATACGTCAATAGTTGACGAAGATAAATAACAGCTGATTTAGCTAATATGCATTCAATAAAAACAGTTTGTATAAAATATTAAAGTTGTTTTTCAAGTTTATAGAACCAGATGTTCAAGCATGCGATAAGCGAACAAAAGAAATATCTATAGGTACTTTATAGCAAAGATTGTTCGATGCAATATGATTTTTAGATTTTTACTATTTGTAAACGTGATTTGTGATGATGGATGATTTTTAATTACTGTTACTTTGGCTATGTATGTACTGAATAAGCTATAACTATGAAGAGATCAATCCATGCCTGATCCGTATAGCACTATTTAAATCCTTGGAATGGAAATAGGCAAAACACAGGAAATAGGGATAAATGGAACGGACTCACTCAGAATTATGACCCTCTGGGTAGACTGTTCGTTACGTCGTCGTTCTGTGTCTTCCACGTTGCAGGCGACCACGCGTCTGGACGGCCAGTCCAAAGTCCACAGAAGGCATGCGCAGCTTAATAAGACGGCGATTCCCTTGATTCGAAGGACCAATGATTGAATATCAAGCTCCAGGTGTGTTGCTGGTGGTCTTGAATAATAAAAGACTTCGGTATGATGAGAAGACTGTATTTAAATAGGTACTGATTGTTAGGGTCAACCGATATGTGCGCACGGCGTCGTGTCGGGCGAGCGAGTGAATGAATGACCGCCATGCCCACTGCTGAGCAAAGCCTCTTCTCACACGGAGAAGGTTTGAGCATTAATCACCACGCTTGCTCAATGCGTGTTGGTGATTTCAAACTTATAATTGGAAATTATAATTCCAGGTTTCCTTACGATGTTTTTTTTTCACCGTTTGTCTGTGGTGTCTAAATAATCTTAGAAAGTACATAGGACTCGGAAAAAGTCACATTGATACTTGCTGTTGGTAGGTTTCGAACCAGCACCCTCATGTATGAGAAGTGCGCCATAAACCTCCAGGCCACCACGACATACACAATGAAAATTAATGAATATGAAATAAATTTAGTATTCCATGTTCTTGTACTTACTACTTTCGGTATATCGGTGCTACACGCTCGTAAATTACGGATCCCTCTGACTTCGAAATGAGTCGGACAAGGTCGAAAGATTTAACCTAAATAAAGGCTAAGACTTTTCATAGAAATAACTTGATTACATCCAAGGCTTCAACCGAATGCTTTCCATTCAAACATTACCACATCACTTACGTAAATAACCCGCATTAGTGAATAAGTAATGTTATTATTAGACATAATGATCGATAGTTATATCTATTTGACTGTGAGCTGTCGGACAAAAGGTAAATGTACACATATCCACAGTAATTCTTGTTTAAATAGATATCGTTGTTAGTTATTTTAACGACGCGACGAAGAAAATCGGAAAATTGTTAAGCAAAGGACGGTTTTCTGGTTTTATTCGCTGATCTTTGATTTGTCAAGATTATGATTCTTGGATTGTCTGAATACATAAGTGGCTTTTATTTTATATTACTTAGTAATTGGAGTTTAAAAAATAACAGATTTTTTTTATTTAACCTACGAATAATGTTTGAATATCAAGCTCCAGGTGTGTTGCTGGTGGTCTTGAATAATAAAAGACTTCGGTATGATGAGAAGACTGTATTTAGATAGGTACTGATTGTAAGGGTCAACCGATATGTGCGCACGGCGTCGTGCCGGGCGAGCGAGTGAATGAATGACCGCCGATCGCAGCAGTCGCGGGCCACGTATGGTGGTGAGCCCGATGTGACGTCAGGAACAAATAACCTTTTAGAAGTAACGTCAGTGCACTTCATTTATTGAACTAACTTGACCGTATTGTTATTATTTGATCTTTGAATAAGATATAAGATCATCCCACAATAAAGCTCGTTTATTATCATATCTGATTTGGATTTCCATTTAGACCCATGTAATATGTCTAGACTGATTTATTCAACAAAGCAAAAGGTCAACATCAGGGCGAAAGGGGTTAACGCAATTATCAAGGGCTCACATCGCGAATCTAGAACAATGAGCGTAGCGAGCCACCGTACCAGGATTGCAGACGCGCGTAGGAGTCAGACAATTTAATACACGAACACAGTTCGAACGAACTCTGTGATAGTAGCATGTTTTTGTTGTAAAAATCGCGTACTGTCCGTCATCTCATCACGCATCATGAATATCATGATGTCCTTGTTAGTATCACAATGTGTTTGATTTCCCTGCACGCCGGCCGCTTCCTTCATCCATGAACCATGATGTAAGTACACTGCATAAATATGTTAAGCAGTTTTGCAATTTTAGGTCAGATTCTTTACTGGTCTGGTGAATTTCTGGGCTCGAACCTAACAATGCAATGTTTTAATAAGTAGGGTTTGCTAAAGGAGTTGCTAATAGCAGCTGTTTCACGCAATTGTTAGTGTAAGTGACTGGTGTGCGGTAATATTGGTAATTTCCTGAAAGCTTTTATACGTATAATGCTAGTGTTTGCGTCCGTCATCATGACTCAAGTTGACTGGCATATTTTGATCCTTCACTTTTGTTAATTTTGTCCCACATTTATGGAGGGTTTCGGTTTCATATTTGTTCAACCTTGCCCTACTATTGTGTAAGATATTTTGAAAATCAACACTAGGTCGCACCGATTGTTTGCTATCTTATTTTGTGATCGTGAAATTGTATGTCATTTACTTACAAATTACTGATATTTTAGGCTACTAACTAGTATCGACTTTTTAGTACATGTAAATCGTCTATACAAACAAGGTTTAACGGTGTAGATTGGTCCTAAATTCCGCATAAATATTATTTACCTTTTTTTTTCTTAAAAAAAAACGTGGCCCCACACTAGGATTTTCTCCTGTGTCGTGGGTGAGTTTACAAATCATTTTGCTACCGCTTTGTCAGTCGCAGCTTGGATTAACAACAGGTTTTGTGTCACTATAAAAGATGGTAATCACGATTCAGATTTAAAGGCACCAAGCGCCAAAAATTGGTTATTACATATACGTAATGGACTGCTATTGAGGTCCTGCAAAGACCAAAGATATTTTTTAGACGTTGTGCGGTACTTGAAGGTAATTAATACACTAGCTTATTAGGGGTACAAATTATATGTCAAATTCTATATTAGTGCTATTTATGCATGGATGAAATCACTTTTATCAATCTGCATAGTATAAGCACCCTGGCATCCTACTCGAGCGCGCTCCATCCACACTTCCTTCGGGTCCATTATGCAATTGTCGCAAACTGCACATTATTCAATGGATACAATTGTACTGTCATGCAGATCATAGTGTTAGCTAAGCACTTAGCTATAAATAGGAACCCCAAAATTATCCTCTGGATTCGGATGTCTGTTTTGGATTAAAATTCAATAGATCATAATTATTATTGTTGTCTCTCAGTATGGTCAGTGTTTAGACAACGCCATTACTTTGTGAGTGCATTAGGATTATTGTGTTATTGTCCGTAATCTCTTTTCTATATTCATTCTAAGGGCTATTCACAATGTCTGATTATACTACCGATATAAAATGTATTATTATCTAATTAGCTAATAGGGTAGATGAGTAATTTTTATTTTCCTATAGAAACGAATTCTTTGGAAAATTTTAAAATTTGAAATATCGCAAAATGACGTAGCTACCTCCCACTCCTAAACTTTGATCCGTTTTATCTTAGTATTGTTTTCTTATAGGATAAAATAAAAAAAATACGTGTCAAATATTTTTTCAAACCCTGTCATAGGTACCTTATGTAAAACCCGATTGTATCTGAAAAATGCAAATGCTCCACTTGTAATTTAACTTTTAACTCCAATTCTTCTTCCATTGTCCTAAATATTTAACACAATCTGCGGCCTTCACCCAATTCCATTCTCGTTCAATGCGGCGCGGAATTGGAACTTTACTTGGCATCCCAAAACTTGGAAAAATTTCCAAATATATTGGTCAAGGCGTTTTTAGCTCACACAGTTCCAACATATTACAGTTTATGGCATTCTGTACCCAATTATTAGAATAATTGTGCTAAACTAAGTTGGCCCAAAAAGAAGGTGAATGTGGTATTTTAGGGCCAAGTTGTCCAAGACATTTGCATAGGGGTCGCCTCGTAAAGAGTAATAAATAAAGAATTTTTTAAGTATCAAGATATCTTCATAGTAAAAGCAAAAAAATATGTGTGTATTTTAGGAACATAGTATAGTGCGGCCTATCACGAAATGAATACAGATAAACCTCTCGTACCAGGCAATCATAAGTAAAAGAAAGTTCGTGACGCGAAAATATTCGTTCCCTGGTAATAACGTAGCTAATTTAGCTAATGTTTTGGCTAATATCGGCCCCGCCTCGTCCGCGCCCCGTTGCGTGATCCACCGCGCCTCGTATTGTCAATGCGATGCGTCAAAATATACCCTACCTTTTATTTTATAGTAACCGGTAATGTAGAACAACTGTTTACCTTATTTATGTGGTCCTGGTAATTTCTAATGTTTATTTTCGCCCTCCTAGCCTTGATTTTAGTGCCTAGCCTTACCAAGCTAGCCATAATAGTGTTTCCGTTCTGACAGCCTAGCTAGCTTATAAATAAAAATTCCCCCTTTTCCCAAAAGAGGCATACAGAAAGATTTATAGGTACTTTAATAGAGTTATCCATTTAATGCTTCCTGCATCAGTAGCTGTGTCTCCTGCATTGCTGTACTCAAAGCAGTCAGATCCCCAATAGTCTTGACTAAAATCGTTATGTTACACCATCAGGTACTGATAAAAAGTGTGAAGGAAAAGGAAGTGGGCTAAAGTGTATAACACCGTTTATGCATGCACGAGTGACCACAGTAACGGCTGGTCAACCAGTTGCATATGCATGTGACAAAAACTCGAAGGAACATTTGCCTACTACAGCTAATTTGCAAACGCTTACATCGAATTGATGAAATAGATGACTCATTTTTATTTTAATGTCCGTCTGGCAGATTATGTTAAAACGTTACACATGTATTTTTTATTTTTTACAGAAACGAATACTTTTGAATATAATATATTGCAAATCAATGTATATTTAAAAGTAAATGTCGCGTGACGTCATTTCTATGTACATTTTATACGTAGAAATGACGTTTTAGCCTTAACTC